ACAAGGTCAAAAGGTTATCTTTTTATACTTGCTGACTTAAGAAGTTCTTCGTACCGCGAGGCTTAACGTTGAGATTTGTAACTACATGTATACTACCTTACTGGTTGTACTGTTCTCCAGTACTCTTCCCTGGATTGCAGCAGAAAAACTATGTCTTGACTGTGCGATCGATTAAACCTATTTCCAGCTGTAGTGGCTTGCCGTGAGATTCCATAGTTGATTTTATTGCTCATAAGCAAGTTGACGCTTGCATGGATTGTTCCAAGTGACCGCTCACATCCGCTACATGATGCTCTCACACACGCACAAAAGTTAGGATTTTATTCTCTCGCCCTTCTTCGTATTGTAACACAAACTTACCTTATTTGTCACGCTCCCCTGTCGACCATATGAAAGTCACAAATGCTTTGCGCATGCGGTTGCTTGAATGATTAGTTAATTTTTCAATTCAGGTTTATTTCTTTTTAACTGGTCCCATTCATTTAGTGTATCCACAGTGATAGTGTAAACGTTGATAACGCACCTATTTGAGTGTATAGGGGCCTATTTTGGCTTGACTTGATCAAGTCTCTCACTTAATTTCATCAAACATTAGTGGCACGTCATGGACTGGCAATCACGCGGTTTCGCCTAAATTCGTACAGCCACGGCGTATAATTCATATCGAGGAAGCCAATCAACGGGTATACGGAAGCTTTAAGATTCAGCAAACACTCGATTGAGGCAACAGAAGGCTTTTTGCCAAAAACCAACTGGCGGGCGTTAGAATTGCTCACCCGTATTCCAACCAGACATGAGAAATACGCTGCAAGCACCGGTGGTAAAACGCGTCCAAGCGTTTAATGTCTTCATTACAAACTGGTCAGATCTCTTATCCTTACAATAACATAGGACGTATCGTAGCGTAATACATCCTATTTTCATTGTCAGGCTGATATCCCTTCGTCTCCATAGATGGTTGTCTTTGGAAAGCCACGCGGGCTTCGCTGAAACGCTGATGTGACTACCAGAGGTGACACGGCTAACAAAGTATGGGAACTGATCCACCACTTTCAGTGGCTGTTGGGAAATAGCTAAAACCAGAGGAGCGTCGACGCAGTCCTGCAACAGTACTTCACAATGAAGGTGCAAAGTACATGCGGAAGCGTGCAGCGCTACGCGTCAGTTTATCCAGTAGTGTTTACATAGCTATTGCGTCAAAAGCAAGGAGAGCTATGTAGTCAGCATATCCAAGGTTCGTCAGTCGGTCACTGGGCAGAACTTCCATTCCAGTAGAATCCGAGAGGACCGAGTCATTCATGATCATTTCAATCAAAAAGTTGGAGAGGAAAGGAGATATAGGACAACCGTGGCGAACGCCACTTGTCGTGGGGAACTGCGAGAACAGTTACCCGTAGACCCTAACAGGGCCTCGGGATTCATGGTAGAGAGGCTGCATGACGAAAAGTAATTTAGCTGGCACGCCATTCATGGATAGGCAGTGCCACAAGCTGGCGCGGTCAACAGAGTCGAAGGCGGATTTCAAATCAAAGAAAATCACCATAGTCGGGTATCACTGCTCAAAAACTTCGCGGAAAATAAATATGTGGTCGATGCAAGCACGACCAAGGCGGCAGCCAGTCTGGTTTTCAGTGAGTTGCCTGAGAATTATACACGTGAGAAGCTTGGGAGCAACGGAAACATGCTTAGAACACGATGATATTCGCACGAAGTACGCTTACTCTTCTTCAAGATGGGCACGCCAGTCTGAAGACACTTTTTCAGTGTCCCAAATCGTGTTAAATATGGAAGCACTCTCACCGAGGCTTCGCAACGCAACGATACTACAATATAGGTAACAACGCACTGACTATGTCACATCGATTGGTGACGAAACGTTTGCAACAAAATTGCCAAGCTCAGGGAACAGTTCAGCCGGAATCTGAACAGCCTGAGTAAGCAGATTTCATTCATATAGCAAAAGCAAATCCAGTCAACATAAAGTCACCTCCGTCTTTCAGCAAAGACGGAGCAGTTGAAAACCACCAACGTTCCCGGCTGATTCGAGGATTCCTTGTCAGACGTCGTTTCAGGGTTACGGACATGCTGAAACACAGTGCTCATTGGAACAAGTTTACGCGCTTCGATCAAACCGATTGATACCTAAGAGATCCATTCACAGTTACGATGGCTAAAATCAGGTACACAGAAAGTGTCAAAGATATTCTTCATGGCACATTTGAGACGATCTCAGTCAATGTTCGGCTCACCGACCTAATTGATCGCTGAAAATCGGTGGACCAGTTCGTACTGATATGTTTGAACAGCAAATTGGGAGTTAAAGTTACAAGTGAGAAGATTAGAAGATAGGCGCTTCTTTGTAGCGGGAAGAGTGAGCGCCAGGCGTGCGCGCACTACAGCATGTTCGGAAGCTAGGCATATGCTCCAAATCCATGGACCGTATTGGACTGACATGCGCCATCTGTAGCTGATGACAATAGGATCAATCTGGGTCCAGTCATTGAGGAATTTGGCGGGCGCCAGAAGTCAGAAGTGCCCCCAAATATACATTACAGACAAGCAAACATACTTCATGGTATCCAGTAGGCGGTACTCACCCAGGGAACGCAAGGTGCATCTTACTGACGCACATAGGTAGCGAGTAAAGTGAACGCCTCTTCTCCACCTAGAGGGGCGATAGTCCGGCCAAAAAAGAGTTAAAAGGAAAACCAGTGAGTGAGCAGTGCTCAAAAAGTGTTTTGAATTGATACCGTTAAAAACTGAGGACGTTATTTGCGGACATTATTCACGGCACGAATGCCAGAAACAAGAGCACAGCCTTTGATCACGTGAAAACGGGAGCGCTCGAACGTCGACACAACTAGCCACCAACTCGGTTCAGATTCACTCGCATACGGAGAGGTTACAGATGCGGAATCCCCGCAGTGCAGAGAATGCAGAACAGAATGAGGGATATGTGCAGGGTAAAGCGGCCATGGGAGGCAAAGAAAAAAAGGCGATGTGGAGTGTGTACCCTGAAAACGACAAGCGTTTAGCTAAGCTTCAAGGAGCCTTAACTGTTACAAACTATAGGGGAGGGGGTTGAGCAAAGGAGTAGTATAAACGTCATCAGACACCCCGAGTATTTACACAGATACGGCAGACACATGGGATGAGGTATTAGAGGCTAAGGATCAGACGCATTAGTAAAACGCACACGTCAAGGAGTCTCTCCATCGCACATAGCACCGTATAAGGTAACAGGCAGCAGCATAGACGATAACAAAGTGATGAGCACAGCCGGAGAGGTGACGCCACACGGTATCATCGGCGCAGACGACTGGCAGATCGTCTAAGGGTGTGCTGGAAGCATGGTGTGCACCCTTTGGCGTGGATATGACCGCCACCGAGTATAACAGCACATGTCTTGAGTCCGCAGACAACCACCACACATCAAGAAAAGCGTTAGAGAACCGTTCCATCTGATTGGGACTCGTCAGGAGCGTGCAACCGCCGAATCCTGCGGGACTCGAACCCTGGCTCTTAAAAGCCAACGACTTGTGCCAATGAGCCATGGGTGACGCAGCTGATCGCCGTGACTGATATCTAACTGTGATATAGCGCGGCTCATCCTCCACTGTCATGCATGTTATGAAAGTGCAGAGGATAGGGCTGGCCCCCAGAGCAACGAATTCCTTTGCAAGTCGCCACCAATCGAGGTGGCATGCAAGCTGTTAAGGCGAATACTGATTATTAATGGGTAATGTGATGAGTTATGGGATTTTGTGAAGATTCGTCGCAACTAGGATCAGGCAGAAAGCCACCACATATACAGGAAAGCCCTAGGCGGCCGTTTCGTCCTAATGGAACAAGTCCCATCAAATAAATAAATAAATTGTGTATTCTCGACAGTGCAAGACACGCTTGCATAAGCATGATCAAGGTTGATGCACAAATTCGCCACTTGTACAGTATCCTAACAGGGAGAGAGGAGCGGTTGTCCCACGACCCAAGTAGCGCTAATCGCCCCGCATCATCGACGAGTGGATCATCAGCACAACGAACTTGGCTTTTATGAGTGCAGATGACGGCAGGGGTCCGAGGGAGGCACACCACTGAGGAGACCAGAAGGTCGAAACAGCGCTGTCTGGTGTCTTTCTAAACGTGCCAAGGCCTGCTGACTGAGAGTGGACTGTAACGAATTACCTCTGAATTAAATCCTAGTAAGTTGGTGAAGTCCCTAGATAATAAGCGAGAAGTAGTGATTAAGACTTAGAACACTATAGATGCCTGGAGCCGCCATAAGAAAGTGAGGGGAAGGTGTTAGGTATACAAAGACACCGAACATCGCCGCCAGGTCAGGACAACACCGGTTGGGGCATGCACGGGACTTCGAGTTTGTAATAGCAATTGTAATGATAGCTGACAAGTTACACGAGCGGAATCGACGCGCAGCCAGTGGACTGGAAAACCAATCAGCGCTGCTAAAGTAAAATGACCACGAGACCACACGGGATAATGATGAATCGATTTGTTATGTTGTGAGTCATGGAGCAAATCAAACGAGCTGCACGCACGCGGCACTGCTCCTGAGCGAACGGCGCACCGTGCGATAGTACCTGACAGACCAAGCGAGAAGAACGGACGGCCAGAGGATAGAGAGCCAATCAACGACGCCGGCGAAATCTAACCACATTTGCACGGGGGGATTAACGGCACAAAATTGGTTTGGGGTATTGTGAACAAAGCACAACATTGTTCTAGCCAAGATAGGAGTGGTTTAAACAGTAACTAAGGAACGACGAGTGCCAGCCAATAAAAAAGATAGATGATGAGTAAGAACCAGCCAGTGAAAGTGTGCTTCAATAAAAGTGATTCAAATTTGTGTGCAGCATAAAATGACCCATGGTTACTTAATAGCAGCGTTTTGGATGATTGTCGTCTTCGTTTTGATTTTCGCAGGGTTATAAGTAGAGTAATCTACAACTGAGCACAGCAATTGGAAAAGAATTGCCACTTACCTGGATGGCTGCGTTTTTCAGTTCCATTATTGAGGTACCCGGAGGCAGTGCATCCAGTTCGGAACCGTCAACCAAATCGGACTGATCGTATCTGTCGTCCAAAGCGTCTAAAATGGAGTCTACATCTTCATCGAGCTCATGATCGTCCGCATATGAATGGTGAGATCCCACACTTGTGACAAGGTCCAATTTAGAGTCAGCACATAAAGGAGAACCCATGTGTCCGCCAGCTCCGTTGAGACTCGGATGTTCAGACTCGTCTAGCAGAAAGTGACAAGCGATTCATAAGCACATAACTTACTAAGTTTTACATGCTAAGAACTTCCTTGAGGTTTTATTCCTATGATGGGTTTGGAAGTAGTGCAGGGAAAGATTGACTAGTTGCAGTAACACCTTGGAAGTGTGACGAGTGAGTTGCTCGATTTACCGCAAAAATTGCACCCGTTATCGGAAATAACGAACTCAATTAGCGAGGTGCAGTGTAAAAGATAGGCCTGATAAGAAACCACGTTCTCCTAAAGGAGGGTCTAGAGATCAGCTGCAGTAATGGCTGGATAAGTCAAGGAGCATGGTACAGTCATGGAGAGAAAAAAAGTGTAACAGCACCTATCAACATTCCAACTCGACAAAATTTACCTGCCTGCTCCTCCCAATCCCATTCAGCCTACTATGCTTCACGTTTGTTCGAGTTCTCTCCACTAGTGTTAAATATGAGAGCTGAAACTACCATTATTCGGTGCCCGGATACATAACTGCCTAACGGAAGTGATATGAAATGAATGCTGAATGCAACAGAAGGGATTATAATTCGAAACGGGGCGTGAGCATGGTCACATTCGACATAAGAATGGCTGTATTAGGGAGCACGGACAGGGAACCCTAATTCAAACTGGAGACCGAGGTGCGTTCCAAACCGCAATCCTTGGCTCCAGGAAGAAAGGTCAAGGTAGAACAGGCCGACGCATATCCCTGAATAGCATGACGTAGGTAGCTGTAAATCTGTCAAAAATGTGGCATCTGTTAAAATTAAAAAATCCACGAAAGCACACAAATCACGGTACCGCTTGAAGAAACAGGCTTTACACAGATAGCAAACACAACAAGTAGAGAGCGAAGAGTTGCAAGAATTGTTGTCGTGGTCAAGAATGAAGTGACTGCACCACTTCATGCTTAAACAACTATCTATCCCTGTGTTCTGACATTGAGGTGGCAAATACGGACCCTGGATTGGAAGGATAGGGATTTGTCAACATTTCGCAAGGTCCGGTCTCGAAAGTGTGTCGCATCCCCATGCCTTATTTGTTACTGTATCACCGACGTCGAAGTACACTGGGCCGATGATGCATTGAAGGTACCGAAGGAAATTGGTCGATTAGAGACGTACGAACACTAATCTCAAGCAAAACGTGGGAACCGAATCTGAGACAAAGGTAAAGAATTTATAGAACAAGGTAGATAGAGGTAGAGGAAGTGCAACGGAAGACTGTTTTTTGTCGACAATGGAATCTCGAAGATACGTGCTCAGTTGCTGTTGGGAGCAAACCTGCTGATTGATGGGAGTTAGTGATCTTGTCTATCGTTTACCACAGAATTGCAGGGAATGATTTCCAGGGCAGATTTAAACGAACCGAGTGAGAGAAAAATGTTGACACAGTGTCTTCCACAATGAGCAACCTATGTAAAAGTACGGAGATGTCAGTGCACCAAGCGGATAGCTTACCACGCGGAGCCGCACGTCCCATTTGATTGTTTGACCACGGTTCATCGACATCCGAGGTGGCAACGTCTGTGTAAATAATCCGAACCAAATGAGGAAGAATGCGCTGGGCGAGAGTAGAAACTTGGGGGTCCACATAGCCCGGATCAACAGGGCGGTTGGTATCGGCAGCGCAAACCGCGCGTAGAAGACGATCCAGAGCGGTTCGGTCAGTACATGATTCAGAGCCAGTGCATGATGATTGATCACTAGCAGTGTAATGGCAAATCAATAAACGCAGTAGTGTGTCAGTCGTCTCCGTACGAACCGGTATGTGAGCAGACTGAGCTGAGATCGACATTGGTTGCTGAACAGCCATCGGATTGGATTGTACGAAGGTCATTTCAGAAGGTGGCTTGGAGGTGGAGTATATGGAGCCGGCCCCACTGGTGGTTATTGTCATGCGGGCATGAGGATGTGGAACTGGTAGGGAACGGAAGTGCAAAGAAAAAGTTGGGAAGTTAGCAAAAAAATGGAATTTCTACTTAGGTTTGGAGACGAGTAAAATTCGTCCCATGTGACCGTCCAAAGGTACGACGTGGAGCACCGAGAACGTGGACATGCTCAGGTTTGCAAAAGTGGACGCATTGTGGAGTGGACGAATGATGAAAACCTCTTCAGTAGAGAGTTATTTAATTAGAGATAGGCTGTAGTACGACTGCACTGTTTTAGTAAGTTACTCTGCCCATCGATTACGACCAGCCTCGAAAACTGTATGCGTGCAAGCATCATCATCATCATCATAAATGTCAGCTAGAGGTGGGAAACACCTCAGCTACTGTGCCGCAATACATAGAAGAAAAAGGAAAATGAATACAAAAGTTGCATGCCAGCTGAGCTACCAGCAACGGATACGCATCGTTTCGGTAAGCTACCAGCCAGCTACTAGGCAAAAAATGATTGTTTTACGCTATGAAATGAGATCGTAGGTGGAGGGGTAGGCTAAAAGGGATGGGAGGGACAAAGAAACTCACAGCACGAACGCCACTGAGGTCGGCTCCTTGCCATATCAGCAAGTGTATCCAGCCAAACGTGTTCACAGTCTTTTGGACCCCAACCAGGGAGCCGTGACGCTCCAACCGAGGCCAGCTCCGAAGTGAGGGCCTTCATTTCTCTCGACCAAGTCATCGCTTGGCCACCCCTCCTCTTCTTCCATCCACATCCCCGGTGAGCAAACAACGCACGTCGTGGTAGTCGGTGGGCTGGCATGCGCAACACGTGGCCCAGACATCGGAGCCTGGTGCGTGAAATGACGGTGCTGAGCGGTTCAGTTCCTTTTCCTGTGCCGTAAACAAGGTGTCGAACACACTCGTTGCTCATGCGGTGTTCCCACCAGATGTGAGCTAAATTGCGAAGGCACCGATGGTCGAACGTAACTAGCCTCTTCATGTCGGCCGGGTTTCACAACCGTACAGTAAGGTCGAACGTACCGCTGCATTGTACACTCTACCCTTCAGGGCGAGAGAAATGTCGCGCAGGCGCCATATGTGGTGTAGGTTAGCAAAAGCGCCCGCGTGATCTCGTCTTCGGTCCCAAGGGCGCTGATACAACTTCCCACACCAAGGGTCAGCGCAGGAAGCGATCAATACCAATCTTGGAGGAACGCTTTGCATTTCGAGGGTGCAAAGCAAAACCCGAAGCGGCTGACAGCCAGTGCTAATCTGTCCAGCGCGGCTTGGCACGTTTGTGAGCTGTCACAGATGAGGGCAATGTCGTCTGCATACTCTAAGTCAAGAAGTCGTTCTCCTGGGAGTAGCTCCATACCTTCCAAGTCATGTCCTGTAAATACAATCTCTATGACTTCGTCAATAGCGAAGTTGAAGAGGAAAGGTGACAGCGGGCATCCTTGTCTCACACCGCTGCGTGCAAACAGAGCACGATCGCCCAGTAAATAAACCCAAAGAGGAGAATCAATAGGATAACGCGGTAGTTGACAAGAATAGGAGATGGAACATGTTTTAGCGTAGCAATGATCTTGCGAGTTCTCAGCTTCTCCCTCCGGTGAAAGTCCAGGTGTTGTCGGCGCCGTGGATAAAACGATTCATGCGACTACCCAGATCTACTGCCAAATGCGTGGATAGTGTGCGGCGCTTGTCATGAAATCCGCTCCCGCCAGCGGCTTCTGCCCGGTCAACTGCGAATATAATAAGTTGACAATCTATTAACCGTGTCAGTGCTACGATGTGCAGCACAGTCACGTGCTGACCCATCAGTTCCAAGAGTAGGTTAGCCGACTGCCCAACGCTATGGTGATGGGCCCACAACTGGATCAAAATGAGCACTGTGTAACCGTTCATTCCACACGGGATTAATCACACCACATCTTTTCTTAGAGCCCTAGTGCTGCAAACTTCCATGTGCTAGCGTCAGCGCTATTTGAGCACGGCGTTAAATCATTTACCAAACACGAACCCACCCGGTTAGATGTAGGTGAGAAGAAGTGTGCATGCTCTAAGTGAACGAGGCAGACAGACCGCTGTAGCATTACATAAAGAGGCTGATCGCAGCGAGGAATAAGCTTAGAAGCAAGCGTGATGTAGAAAAATCTTCAACCAGCTTCGAAACCTGAATGCGAGATGCGTATCAGGGCTAAATAAGGAAAGAAAATTTATCGGCAAACTAGATGCCATATTCAGTACACTTCTCATACATGCTATCTGGTGCCGTGGTCTCAGATAGATTGGATCTGAATAACAAGGTGGTTGGTCAGAGGTACGCAATCTGAGGTGGTTAATGCGCGCGTGAGTCGACTCAATCCAGCATGCACAGACATCCTAATCAGAGCATATTCAGGAGGAATGTATTCCTGACAGGTGCAAAAGTGCTGTTTATGATCGAATCAGCGCCTCATTTAAACCGCCGAGAAGAGAGAAAACCGGCAAATAGCACTATGTGGCGAGGTGGGTAGCTTTGGCGTCGTATATCGCAGTCGTTACAACAAACAGTCATTTTTGAAGCCTCACTACTTTGCGGGTCAGACTACTGAGTCGAACGCTCCAAGTGGAGTCCTTCAAATAAATCTTCATTTACACCATTGTTTTTTGGAAAGGCTATTGAGTCAAGGGCAGGGCCATAAGAAGGCATTAGCATTATTCATTGGCTTCGATATACGAGGATGAAGTGGATCATCATTTTGATCTGAAAACGTAAAGATTATAGTACACGGGAGTACGAAGCAGGCAAGAGAATGCTTCGGAGTACGGCACTCCGCAAAGAATTCGATCAATCGACACGTTGAGTTAAACCCCATCTACGCACATCTACGACCAAAAGACTACCACCGCGGTTGAATAAGCGCAGGGGAAAAGCGGTCATACAAACAGCTCAGGCAGTAATTTCAGCAGCTGAGACAAACAGGCCGTGGTCACTAGGTACGGGTCGAAGAGGCCATTTTTAGAGATCACATGCCCAAACGGCCGATGACGATGACCTATAAAAAGGCACGTGCGTGACTACCCGGCTCACACATACCTACGCTATACTAGACTGCACTACGCAGTAACGCATTGATGATGTCACCTCGACTGGTGACGAAACGTTTGCAAACTAATTGTCAAGCTCAGAGAAAAATTCAGCTAACAAATGAACAACCTGAGCTGCCACACTTAGTTTTATATCACGCCCTTATATCACACTTTCCCTTTGGTAAATGAGCGAGAAACAACCGATAAACCTAAAACTGGTGGGCACGGAGCATCGGAGCGGTAATCGGGATCAAGGAGCACGTTTCAAATTGGTTCCTTCAAACTTAAGTCAGAGAGAGCAACAAGAAGTCTTAACATTCACCCCTCTCTCTCTTGGAATTGATGTGTGCTGTGTTTCTGAAACTCACATACAAGATAACATGATTTCAATGAATCACCGATTACCTGATTCTGAATCTGCCGACAACGACAAAACTCTGCGTCTTTGGCGAAAGAGTCTACGCCTCGAGACATTCGTGGAGTCGGTATTGTCCACAGCAAGCAATCTACTCGACTGGATACCAGCGAATGGCCGACTGTGCGGTGCGACTACAGACCTCTATCGGGTCAATAAGTACCCTATGAAGACAGTGACTTTCCATCACTTCGACTCAGGTCCTGATTAACTGCAGCTCAAAAGGTACAAGTTTTCATGGTTTTCCCGTATAGTGAAAATTGTTGCTGGTGTCATGAATGCCCAAATAGGTCGCCTATCGGACTCCGAACAACGGTTGGGAGACTATTTCAAGATCGATGAAGACAGTGTTGATAGATTTCTGAGATTACGTGCAAATCACGATCTTCATATTAGCAATCCTGCGTTCCTGCACAAACGTTCACATCGTGTCACCTGGCGTACAGTGAACTTCTCGGGGATCTGAACAGAAGCTGGCCATATTGCCATCAGCTACAGATAACCTACATCGGTTTGGAGTAAGTAGGGAATTCTGACCATGCTTCAGTGCGCACACGTATGGCGCTCACTCCTCCAGCTCCAACGAGATGTCTAACTTATAGGCTTCTTACGGGCCATCTGAAAGTGCAGTCGACCATTCAGCAATACTATGACAAACTGGCCTATACACTGTCAGTAACGAACGAGATGGGTGGGCTGAATGCCAAATGGAGCCGTCACAAACGCGTCATGCTGGATGCCTTTGAGGACTCCAGTTCATTGAACCAAAGAAGTCCGAACTTTGGGTAGATTTCTGAAACGACTATTACTTTCTTCGAAACTAGCGCACAATTTCAGTTTATCTGTAACACCCTGAAATAATGACGGATTAAGATGCTTAGAATCGACCGGGATTGTTGGCAAATGGAAAAAGTCTCTGGGACGAAGAAAGCCAATGCAACTGAGAAAGACCCAGTGCTACTCCAACTCACATGAAGCAGGAGTCTAAGAAATCCCTCAGTTAGTGAGATAATAATTTATGAATAGTAATAGCTTATAGACGCTTAGGCACGTAAAGTAGTTTGTTGAGTGGAAAAAGTTTGAGAAGGGACTCAGCTGGCCTGCTACGACATTATCGCTCGTTGGTTAGTGTGTCTCAGTGATCCATTGAGCTATGCTGGGTGGTGCATTTCTGCACCTTCAGAGCCACTCATACCAGATTGATCAATGGTTAGAGGCCAGAAAAACTCAACCTCCTGGTCCTCCAGGTTGGGGGTTGGAATGAGGGTGGCACCTTATTCCTTAAAACGGACTCCTTGTAGCCCAACGCCAAACCCGCTGCCTTGCGGTCAGGTTTTGAACCAAAGACTGGTTGAGAACCCTAATCGTTCTCCTGTCTACGCCTGGGCAACCTGACAATATCCTGCCCACGAAATACAACGAATCTTCAAACAAACTTCTGATGATCTGGCCACCACAGAGGATAATAAACGGTGCCCTACCTGCTGCATCGAGCAGGGTGGATAGAGTCTTGGATGCTACTGCTCAAGCCTTCCCGTCTTATTA